TGCAACGCGTCGTGAAATCTGGTCTTGGAGGAGCTACGCGTTACTCCAGTTTAGAAACATATAAAGATGTCTAATGCCTCCAGAAAGGAAGGCTAAGCAACTGTTCCTTGCAAATCCGATCGGCAAAAAGGCCAAGGGGACGGCCAAGATTAACCTGGTGCAAACATACGGAAGGAGTCTGTTCCATGCTCCGTTTGTCTTTTGCCGAAGCTCAGACTCTGGCACAGGATCGGGAAAGGTGGAAGCCCTGTCTGACGCGTCTGCCTCCGCGACCTGAAAGGAGAAGCGGCGATGGAAGGTGAAGATGAAGATGTCTATTCAGTTACAAAAAGCACTTCAAGATCCTGAAACATAAAGGACCATTTTCTGGCTTCAATCCGGCATCAAAAACTGAAAAGAATTATATATCTTAGCGATGGTATCATAAACTACCAGTATGCTAGCAAAGCCATAAGATCGGGTTTAATTTTTCTTCACAAATATGTCTATGGATCGTGACATATGGTTGTTCAGCCCTGCCTGATGATATGGCTTTGAACCAATGCACCGCAGGTACTCAAATATCATGGAGCCGTTATCTGCATAAATGATCCCCTAGGCCACTAGAAGCGAAGGGGACGGTGCTTACGCCATTTCAATCTGGTATCAAAACTGAAAAAGATCCTGAAACATTGTTGGTAATGAACTCGAAGTGACCCTAGTAAACAAAGCGATGCGAGATGCATCTGGCACTGCAGCAGCTGAAACACAAGTTCCATGGCCTTAAGTGCCCGCAGTCAACTAGGACAGAAGGAACAATGCAAATTGCCGTAAAATCTGCTTTTGGAGGAGATACGGGTTATTTGAGGTACTCTAGAATGCCAGCATACATTGCCTTCGATGCAATATCACTATATTGATGGAATTGAATCGATTGGGTCTGTTCTTCACTACATTAATTCGGTTTGGATTAAGTGGACGGCACTTCACACACCATGGCAATGAGCAGAAGTCCTTTGTGCTGAGTTACCAATGCGAGCTGAAGGGTAAGACAGCCAACAACAAGGACACCTGCAACTCTGATAGCAACCTGCATGAATAAAATTAGTGAAACGCGTACCCATTCAAGGGTATATAAATCTTTAGGCAAGCTAGACCTTAGATTTCCAAGCGTTGACCATCCCAATAGCTACATGGATATATGGATATTATACCATTATGATATCGTCGGACTCTTTCTTCCATCTTGTGCATGAGTCGTCATGCACTATTCATAGAATCGGCGAAAGGGTGAAAAGCTGGAAAACTCTGTCATATACTATGTTATTAGAAACAAGGCGGTAATGCGCTTGCGACGAGTAAACAGTGTAGTAAAAATTGAAATGCTGTGATTATGGTCAGAATTGGCAAGGCACCCATGTGGTAGCTACCCCGGAATATCAGAACGCGTTTTTCATTTACTATACTTTGCATAGGATCGATACATATGTGGCTTCTATCAAAGTTTCTAGCGACAGTACGCATTCTGATCGAAATGGACTCTACCTTAGTCATTAAGAAGTTTATCAACTTCTTAGTATGATAAATTCTTTAGCCTATGACCTCAGAGATTTTGACAGCTTTTAGCTTATCACCATGACATACACTCCATTAACTCATCATGACATTTTATACTGTCCTTTGCAGTCACCCCTCTTCGTGATGCAAATGTGATATTGGGCCTGGTTTATGCAGATTAAGAAAAGGACCTTAAACAGTTGTGCTTTCTGGTCCATATATGGCCATGCTTTAAACCTTTACTTTCGTAAACAATGAACAAACATGCGGCATTGTCCTGATAACCGCAAATCAAGCCGTAATGCTGTCTTTACGACGCACATCATCCTAATGCTTGATTTCTTAGTCAGACGATCATTCCCCTAGGCATCATTGTAACCTTATACAATTGAATAAGAGGTAGCATATAAGCTACGTAGTATGTGGAACTTCACTGGATGGGATTCACATAACAAAAGTCAGGGACCTCTTGTACGCTGAGTGATCATGTTTGTTGCCTCGTACAACGAGTGATTTATTTTTAATTTCTTCGCAAATTGTGAACGTCATAACCTGAATTATTCTAATTTAGGTGTGCAAAGGACGAACTCTGAGAGACACGTGTGACGGTCAATACCAATACCTGGACGGCGTGATTAAGCTTAGTAACGGCGAGTAAGCACCGTGCGACTTTTACCTATAAGTAGGACACCAAAGCGAAGCGTTTCAGGTTGCAGTCGATGTGCTGCGAGTTGGCCAATGCCAGGGCAATGAGGATCAGCGAAAGCTGTACGGAATACACCATTACGCCGAACAGTTTGTCCAAAAGGAATCCTACAGGTGAGGAAAATGATGAATGAGGCGTTGACGTGCATAAGTTATTAAGTCAAATCATAACCACTTCTTGGTACCTCCCGGTTAGAACGGTTAAATATAAAAACGTATTAATTACGTTAACAAAAAGTTCATGTAAAATTTAAAATAGGAAAGCAAGTAGATCGGGTAACTTGAAAAAGCGAAAAATGGAGGATATGTATCAGAAGATAATTTTTAGGGCTCATACGGATTCCGTGTCGTAGATGACTTGAAGACTTGAAGGTGATAGATCTTTTAAATCCATGGTTGGCAGCACGAGACCCATTTATACGAGGTTAAAGGCATTCCTCCTGGGAATAAAACACAAGATAAAGGGGGACGCTGTGTGAATACGTAAAAGATCGAGATTAAGGGAACTGAGCTATTACATTCTGCATCAGCAGCTGCATTACTATATAACGAAGAGTAATTCGGTACCACCAAAATATCATGCAGCAGAAGACCTGTAGAATTACTCTGAGTTGAAATACCAACCTTATGACGCTCTTTTTCCGTACAGAGAATCACAGTTAACAAACGAACGTCGCAGTTTCAGAGAAAACAACATACAGAATCAAGCAATATCTAAGAGTACGAATCAACAAGACAAAAGGGCCTACCTTTAGCCTGACTAAGTCCAGACCAGTACTAAGCACCATGAAGTCAACGCGACCCATCCTGCCAAGAACGAACACTTCAATAAACAAGCATATGCAAAGATTGTTATGTAGATGCATGCAAATATGTTAGATAACCAAGTAGGTTAGATAACGTATAATTCTTGTAAAGACCAGATTTTACGGCGTATTGCATCATCCCTTTGCTCTGGGGTTCCAACACACAAAACGGAGTGGAACGCCTCTGGTACTGCAGGTGCCTAAATATCACGGAACCGTGACCTGCTTAAATCGCCTCTGGGCAACAAGCAAAGGGACGGGAGCAAAGCAAATCTGGCATGAATCGAGTTATTCATCACCTGAAGTCAATTGCACAGACAACATGGCA